CCCCCTGGTGTCACCTCCCACCCTTGGGTGGCATCTCCCACCCTTCAGTGTCACCTTTGACCTTTCAGTGTCACCTCTGACCCTTCAGTGTCACCCCGCACCCTTCAGTGCCACCCCCATCCTTGGGTGTCACCTCTGACCCTTCAGTGTCACCTTTGACCCTTCAGTGTCACCTCCCACCCCTGGGTGTCACCTCCCCACCCTTGGGTGTCACCCCTATCCTTGGTGTCACCTCCCACCCTTGATTGTCACCTCCGACCTCTGGATGTCACTTCCCACCCTTCAGTGTCACCTCTGACCTTTCAGTGTCACCTCCCAGCCCTGGGTAACACTGAGGAGTTACAAAGTGCACGGTGGGTGGCACTGGGGGGTGACAACGGACACTGTGGGTGGCACCAGGTGACACTGAGGGTGCCATGAGACACTGTGGGTGACATCAGGTGACACTGAGTGTGCCATGAGACACTGTGGGTGACATCAGGTGACACCCACAGGTGACACTGACCGGACAATCCCGGCACACTGACCAGCTCCTCCTGCCGGCTGGCACAAGGGGTGACACAGGGGGTGACAGAGGTGACACAGGGGACACAGGGGATGACACAGGTGACCCAGGGGGTGACACAGGTGACACAGGTGACACAAGTGACACAGGATGACACAGGGGATGACACAGGGTGACACAGGGGATGACACAGGGGACACAAGAGGTGACACAGGTGACACAGGGGGTGACACCCACAGGTGACACTGACCGGACAGTCCCGGGCACGCTGACCAGCTCCACCTGCCGGCTGTGACAGGGGGTGACAGGGGACACAGGGGGTGACAGGGGGGGACCCCCCAGGGTGACCCAGGGGGTGACAGAGGTGACACAGGTGACACAGGAGGTGACACAGGTGACACTGACCAGACAGTCCTGGCACGCTGACCAGCTCCTCCTGGCGGCTGGCACAGGGGGTGACAAGGGAGGTGACACAGGGGGTGACAGGGGAGCCCATGGGTGACACAGGTGACACAGGGTAACACAAGGTGACACAGGTGACACAGAGGTGACAGAGGGGGTGACACAGGTGACACAGGTGACACTCATGGGTGACACTGACCGGACAATCCCGGCACGCTGACCAGCTCCTCCTGGCAGCTGNACGAAATTGGGGTCGTAGATCTCGGGCTCCTCGGTGACGTACTCGATCTCCACCTCGGGGGGGTCCCCAGGGTGGGGCTCGGGGTCCCCCCGGCCCGGGGTGGGGGTTGGGGGTCCCTCCCGGGCCCCGCCCCTCCCCCGCTTCTTCTTCTTGCGGTTGCGGCGCTTGCGGTTCCGCTGGGAGGGGACAGGAGAGGGACAAAAATGGGACATTGGGGATAAAAAATTATATTGGGGGACAAAAATGGGACATTGGGAGATAAAAAGGGACAGAAAAGGACAAAAATGGGACATTGGGGACATTGGGGACAAAAAGGGACAAGAAAAAAGGAACAAAAAGGGACAAAAAGGGACTTTCAGGGATTTTCAGGGACAAAAAAGGACAAAAATGGGACATTGGGGACATTGGGGACAAGAAAAAAGGGACAAAAAAGGACAAAAATAGGACACCGAGGACAAAAAGGAACCAAAAGGGACATTGGGGACGTTGGGGGATGAAAAGAGACAAAAGGGGACAATACAAAAGGGACAAAAAGGGACAGAAAAGGACAGAAAAGGACATTGGAGAATGGAAAGGGACATTGAGGGACAGTGGAGACAGAAAGCGACAAAAAAGGACAAAAAAGGACAAAAATGGGACATTGAGGGATGAAAAAGGACAATGAAAAAGGGGCAAAAAGGGACATTGGGGTGACCCCAGGGCAGCCCCACCCCCCAAGGCCACCCACAAAGGGTACAAAGGTGACACCAAAGTGACACAGGTGACCCCAAAAAACCGCAAACCCAACCCAGCCCAGACCCCCCCACCCCGAAGGTTTGGGGTCCCCCACTTCCCCCCCCCCGGATGACAATTTGGGTGGGGGGCCCATGAGTGTCCCCAGGGTATCCCCGGAGTGTCCCCAGGGTGTCCCCAGATGTCCCCAGGGTGTCCCCAGAGTGTCCCCAGGTGTCCCCAGGGTGTCCCCAGATGTCCCCAGAGTGTCCCCAGTGTCACCTCTTTCTTGGACGCCCCCGTGTCCTCCTCAGCCTCCGAGGCCGACGCCGACGCCCTCAGCTCCGTCTCCATCTCGTCCTCGGC